GGGGATTTGATAGCTGTTTTCAACTACCTGAAAGGGGGTTCCAAAGAGGATGGCTCTAGACTGTTCTCAATGGTATCAGAAGACAGAACGAGGAGTAATGGTCTCAAGTTACAGTGGGGGAGGTTTAGATTGGATATTAGGAAAAACTTTTTCACTATGAGGGTGGTGAAACACTGGAATGCGTTACCTAGGGAGGTGGTAGAATCTCCTTCCTTAGAGGTTTTTAAGGTCAGGCTTGACAAAGCCCTGGCTGGGATGATTTAACTGGGAATTGGTCCTGCTTTGAGCAGGGGGTTGGACTAGATGACCTTCTGGGGTCCCTTCCAACCCTTATATTCTATGATTCTATGATTCTATGATCATCAAGTTGGGCCATTTCCAGCACAAATCCAGGTTTTCTCACCCTCCGCCCCCCCCCCCCCACACAAACTCACTATTTTGTTATTTGTTTTGCTATTACCAGCAGGAGAGTGAGTTTGGGGGGGGGGGGGGGCGGAGGGTGAGAAAACCTGGATTTGTGCTGGAAATGGCCCAACTTGATGATCACTTTAGATAAGCTATTACAAGCAGGAGAGTGGGGTGGGAGGAGGTATTGTGTCATGGTCTCTGTGTATATAATGTCTTCTGCAGTTTCCACAGTATGCATCCGATGAAGTGAGCTGTAGCTCACGAAAGCTTATGCTCAAATAAATTGGTTAGTCTCTAAGGTGCCACAAGTACTCCTTTTCTTTTTACATGGGGAACAAATATTTAGTAATGGACTCTTCTATCTAACAGAGAAATGTATAATGCAATCCAATGGCTGGAAGTTGAAGTTAGACAAATTCAGCCTGGCAATGAGGTGTAATTTTACAGTAAGGGTATTTAACCATGGAAACAATTTACCAAGGGTGGAGGTGGATTCTCCATCACTTAACAATTTTTACATTGAGACTGGATGTTTTTCTTAAAGATCTGCTCTAGGCATTATTTTGGGTCAGGTCTCTGACCTGTTATACAGGAGGTCAGAAGATGATAGTAATGATTCCTTCTGACCTTGGAGTCTATGACTCTATATCAGTGGCAGGAGTGTTGCTCTGCAGATTTTTCCATCAGGTCTCAGTGCTCATTTAGAGAAGGCATTGGTTTCCCTTTGTATGGTTGTAAGAGCTGTTTCTGTCTTTGTACGCAGGAGAACTCTGCTAAACTCTGAGCCTGGGAGCACGGTCCTGAGTTGCATATACGTAGTCTGGTTTCCTGTCTTCTATTTAAAGCTACTTCAGCCCTAGTTAAAATTAAAATATGGTAGGAAGTGGCTTCTGCCTCCTCCCACTTCAACTAATTTCTGCTCAGTCTGTGGGAGAAATAACCTGTTCCAAAGATGCCAAAAAAGTTAGCAGCCTGTTTGAAATTTGCAGCCCACTGGTGCAGTTGTTCATGGGGCCAGCAGTCATGATTCTCTCTGAACATGTGGTCTGGGTGCTTTGCAGAGAGAAAGGAGACGCCGACCCTGCACCAAGGAACTTAGGGTCATGCTGAAGGTAGCCAGCTGCTTTACTTGAGGAACATGTCTTGGAGTGTAAGGGGGAAGAAGGGCTAACACCAGGTTTTACAGAGTGAGATTTATGTTTTTCTTTCTGCAGCAGAAATGATTCGGAGCTGGCAGCTCCTCCACCCACTTTCCTCGTGTCACAGCATCATATGAGTAGCCAGGAGCTGGATGCTTTCTCAGAAGCCTCAACTGTGGGCAGCCTGGATGCACTCAGACTTTGTCCTAGCACATCAAGGGTTTCTAATGCTTCCCTCCCTGTGTTAGGGTAGCACCCGGCCTCCACAACTGACTGCAGTTGTCTCCCCAGGGGCCCATGACCTTTGGAGTAGCACTGCACCTACTTCCCCTTGTGTTTAGGGCCATAGCTGGGTCTAGTGAAGCGAGTCAGAGCTAGACTGAGCTGCTGTTGATAGCATTAGGGTTGCTAATTTTCTACTTGCACAAAAGTGAACACCCGTGACCCGCCCTTCCTCTGAGGCCCTGCCCCTTCTCTGAGGCCCCACACTTGCTCACTCCATCCCCCCTCCTGTCACTTGCTCTCCCCAACCTCACTCACTTGCTCATTTTCACCGGGCTGGCTCAGGGGGTTGGGGTATGGGAGAGGCTGAGGGCTCTGGCGGGGACTGTGGGCTCTGGGGTGAGGCCAGGAATGAGGGCTCTGGGCTAGGGGTGGAGCCAAGGGGTTTAGACTATGGGAGGGGACTCGGGGCAGGGAAGGGGGTTGGGGTCCGGGGTGAGGGGGGTAAGAGCTCTGGTTGGGTGTGTGAGCTCTGGTGTGGGGCTGAAGGGCTTGGGGTGAAGGAGGGTGCTCTAGGTTGGTACCGAGGGTTTCAGAGGGTGGGAGGAGGATCAGGGCAGGAGGTTGGGGTGCAGGAGGGGGTCGGGGTGCAGGCTCCGGGCAGCACTTACCTCAAGCAGCTCCCGGAAGCAGTGGCATGTCCCCTCTCCAGCTCTTACAAGGAGGCGCGGCCAGGTGACTTGGCGTGCTGTCCTTTCTGCAGGTGCCACCCCAGCAGCTCCCATTGGCTGCGGTTCCTGGCCATTGGGAGCTGCGGAGACAGTGCTTGGAGCAGGGGTAGCATGTGGAGCCCCCTGGCTGCCCCTATGCATCAGAGCCGGAAGGGGGACATGCAGCTGCTTCTGGGAGCTACACGGAGCCACAGCAGGCAGGGAGCTTGCCTTGTCTTGCTGTGCCACCAACCAGAATTTTAACGGCCTGGTCAGTGCTGGTGTTCTGATAAAAAAAAAAAAAAAAAAGACACCTGGCAACCCTAGATAGCATAGAACCTAAATCCTTCTTACTCCCTGTGTGACGAACAGCATTAGGGTGGGGAAGACAGTCATTTGAGAGGTCACTGTAACTCCCAGCTTGAGGGAGCAGCATTGAGGCTACGCAATGTGCAATGGGCCCCTGCCTGTGGTGGTGCCTGCTCCTTACTAACCCTTTTGCAAGGAAAAACTGCTTTGTCCCAGCATGCCTTTACCGGGGGTTCGGCAGCATGCCTGAAGTGACCACTGGACAGCTGGTTGCATGTCCCCCCTTCCCCCCAATGGGTGTCTTGAGCTCCTAGAATCATAGAACTGTAGGGTCAGAAGGAACCGCAGGGGTCATCTAGTCAAACCCCCTGCCAAGATGCAGGATTTGTTGTATATAAACCATCCAAGACAGATGGCTCTCCAGCCTCTTTTTGAAAACCTTTAGTGCAGGAACTTCCGCAACCTCCCTAGGCGTCTGTTCCATTGTCCTACTCTTCTTACCATTAGGAAGTTTTTCCTGAGATTTAATCTAAATCTGCTATGCTGTAGTTTGAACCCACTGCCTCTTATCATGCCCTCCATGGCGCAAGAGAACTTTACTCCATCTTTTTTATGGCAGCCTTTCAAGTTTATGAAAACTGCTATCGTGTCCTCCCTTAAGCTCCTCTTTTCCAAACTGAACATACCCAATTCCTTCAGCCTTTGTTCATATGGCTTGCATTCCATCCCTTTGATCATCTTTGTCGCTTGCCTCTGGAGCCTTTCCAGTTTCTCTTCATCCTTCCTATACGTTAGTGACCAAAACTGGACACCGTACTCCAGCTGAGGCCTGACCAGCGCCAAGTAGAGTGATACCATCACCTCCTCTCATAGACTCATAGAATATCAGGGTTGGAAGGGACCTCAGGAGGTCATCTAGTCCAACCCCCTGCTCAAAGCAGGACCAATCCCCAATTAAATCATCCCAGCCAGGGCTTTGTCAAGCCTGACCTTAAAAACTTCTAAGGAAGGAGATTCCACCACCTCCCTAGGCAACGCATTCCAGTGCTTCACCCCCCTCCTAGTGAAAAAGTTTTTCCTAATATCCAACCTAAACCTCCCCCACTGCAACTTGAGACCATTACTCCTTGTTCTGTCATCAGCTATCACTGAGAACAGTCTAGATCCATCCTCTTTGGAACCCGCTTTCAGGGAGTTGAAAGCAGCTATCAAATCCCCCCTCATTCTTCTCTTCCGCAGACTAAACAATCCCAGTTCCCTCAGCCTCTCCTCATAAGTCATGTGTTCCTGTCCCCTAATCATTTTTGTTGCCCTCTGCTGGACTCTTTCCAATTTTTCCACATCCTTCTTGTAGTATGGGGCCCAAAACTGGACACAGTACTCCAGATGAGGCCTCACCAGTGTAGAATAGAGGGGAACGATCATGTCCCTCGATCTGCTGGCTATGCCCCTACTTATACATCCCAAAAGGCCATTGGCCTTCTTGGCAGCAAGGGCACACTGTTGACTCATATCCAGCTTCTCATCCACTGTAACCACTAGGTCCTTTTCTGCAGAACTGCTGTCGAGCCACTCGGTCCCTAGTCTGTAGCAGTGCATGGGATTCTTCCGTCCTAAGTGCAGGACTCTGCACTTGTCCTTGTTGAACCTCATCAGATTTCTTTTGGCCCAATCCTCTAATTTGTCTAGGACCCTCTGTATCCTATCCCTACCCTCCAGCGTATCTACCTCTCCTCCCAGTTTAGTGTCATCTGCAAACTTGCTAAGGGTGCAATCCACACCATTCTCCAGATCATTTATGAAGATATTGAACATAACCGGCCCCAGGACCGACCCTTGGGGCACTCCACTTGATACCGGCTGCCAACTAGACATGGAGCCATTGATCACTACCCATTGAGCCTGACAATCTAGCCAGCTCTCTATCCACCTTATCGTCCATTCATCCAGCCCATACTTCTTTAACTTGCTGGCAAGAATACTGTGGGAGACAGTGTCAAAAGCTTTGCTAAAGTCAAGGAACAACACGTCCACCGCTTTCCCCTCATCCACAGAGCCAGTTATCTCGTCGTAGAAGGCAATTAGATTAGTCAGCCATGACTTGCCCAACTCCTGAGGTCCCTTCCAACCCTGATATTCTATGATTCTATGAATCCATGCTGACTGTTCCTGATCACTTTCCTCTCCTGTGACTTGCATGCGATGCCTCTGTTAATGGAACCCAAAATTACATTTTCTTTTTTTTTGCAACAACATCGCATTGCTGATTCACATTGAGGTTGTGATCCACCACAGCTCCCAGATCCTTCTCAGCAGTGCTGCTGTCAAGCTCGTTTCCCCCCATTCTGTGTATGTGTATTTGGTTTTTCTTTCCTAAGAGTAGCACCTTGCATTTATCTTTGTTGAATTTCATCCTCCTGCTGCATCCTCCAACCTCCCTGTGGAGCTGGCATATTCACACCCCTTACCCTCACTACACGTGCTGTCACATGGTCTGCCCTGAGCAGGCAGAGTTTAGCACTCAAGCTGGTACCTGGGCTACTGCCCTGTAGCACCCAAGAGGGGCTGAGAGCTGCAGAGAGCCAGAGGGGAGCTGGTTGCTGCCACAAAGTGTGGTGTGAACTGAAGGGGGAGGGTCACAGCAACACAGGATTTGAATGCGGGGGAGCAGCTGTTGGAGGACATGTCCTACCTCGCATTCGGAAGGAAGCAACACAATGCGATCCTTGCCATGGTTTTGGTTGGGGGGCACAGCCTCTTGCAGCCAGTGCCATATAGCACTGAGAGGAGGGCCAGGCCTGACCTTTGCTGTGTTAAGCTTTAGGCTCTTAAAAGGCCGAACCGTTGCCCCAGAAACACACTCATTTCCAGCTGAGCCTGAGCCAGGGTGGGATTGGCTGCTTGGTGCTTGCTGAGGGGCTGGACCGGCTGCTCCTGTGATAGGACAGCTCAGGCTAATGGCAACTCCATCAGAGTCTGCTTGTGTCAGAGGCACTGGCCTTGCAGCATCTGCTCTTCCCCAGCCTGGCTTGTGCAGGGAGGGAGACAAGATGGCCAGTAAGGTCCACTGCTGACTACTGGGATGGCACCTGGCTGCAGAAGTATAAAGGCTCTGCAGCACACCCTAGTGTTATCAGCTCTCCCTGCTTCGGGGCCCACTGTGCATGGCGTTGCACAGACCCTGCCGCCCTCACTTGATGCCATCTGACGAGGGAGTAAGGACGAGGGTAGAAAAGCTCTATAAGATGCAAATTATCCACAACAGGCAATGTAGGTGTCATTATGCTAAATAATTTTATTGTTGAACCATAAAAGCGTGGAGGCTCAGACTCGCTCTGGACTGTACACAGTGCTCTAACTGCTCCTGGGTGCTCAGAAGGCCATGCAAGGGACCCCAGTAATGCCCCAATTGGAAACCACCATGAAGTCCAATAAACACAAATCTCTGGCCAACTCCCTGCTAGGACAGGGAGTTACTCTCTCCCCAGCATCTGCTCTGGCAGGGACTGCTAACTAGCATCTGAGCTGAAATTCTGGTGGACTTAGCCCCTAGCTGTGTACTGGGGAGAAGGTCTCAGGGAAATCCCACACCATCCCGTTGACCCCAGAGCCAGAATTCTGTGCAGGGAGGTGACTACCGGTAGGCTGTGGTTCCGTCATTGTCCATTTGCAGCCCAGCCCTAGCGGACTCAGGGGGGCACAGAGGGAGGGGTCTTTCCCAGCTGGAGTGGCCTGGGAGCAGGGGTTATAGCCCAGGGCACCACCATTCTCTGCTGCTGACTCATGGGGACTGTGGTGTAAGACATGGGCCAGTGCTTCTGATCACGGTGGTGTGTTGGATAACCTGCAATTGGCTGTGTGCCACTCGGGGGGAGGTGTGGGGCTGCCCTGGGACTCAAGGGACCGCACAGAAAACTTGTAACCCGTTTCACCACCACTGTTCATTCAGGGAGCTCAAGGAGCCTGCTCGGGCAGGGCTACGGCTGCTTGGTATTGCAGCTTGTGCAGGGACTAGCCCACAAGCTGCCTCCAGGTAGCTCCTCTGCATGCTCCAGGTAGCTCCTTTACATGGAGCCCTGTGGTCACTGCTCTCTCCAAGATCTCTTCCCTGCATTAGAATGCAAATCCTGGTCCTTGGGCTTCGGGATTTTATGCCAGTATGTGCATGTTTGTTCTCAGAACCCACCCTATGAGGCCATGTGGTGTTGTGTGCTGCACTGACATGAATGGGAGGCGCTGTGTGGGGTAGCAATGGGTTTCATGGCCAGAGAGGGGCCCCTGCGGAGCAGGCTCCCTGGAGACTGTCTCAGCAACTAACAAAACCGTAGAACAACAAGAGAATGAGCGGTGGGAAGCGCCTTTCACAGCAAGGCCAAGCAGGCCCAGTGCGTGCCTGACCTTGTCCTGTGCTGGGCCCAGCAACAGGCTGAGCTGTGAGTGCATAGTGACAGGAATGTGTGCGTGGGGCCTGCTGGTGCGCGTGCGCCAGGGCAGGACGGCATGTGTGTGGGGGGGTGCCTCAACACTTGGGCTTGTAGTAGAGAAAGGCCCTTGTCATTACATGCCCCCCAGGAATTCATCGTCTTCATTGGAGAAGAGAGAGAGCTCACAGGCGTCCTTCCTTGCAGCAGATGATATGAATGCTTTGGATGGCTGGGGAGCCAGAAGAAGGGGAGCTACTGTGGCCTTGGCTTTGCTCTGGTGCTGTAATGAAGGAACACACAGTGAGTACTGTCCCCAGAGGCCTAGGGGGAGCTGCCGCACCCCCTGGTCAAAAGCTATTGTGAGCTTGTGCTTACTGCACCTGTGAGAGCTGACTGAAGGTCCTGCGTATCACCCCAGAGCAGCAGGCAGGCCTGTGCACAACGAGGACACATCCTCTACCTGTTTCCACCTCCCTCCCAACATCATGCCTGCTCAGTGCCTTCAGCACCTCAGCTGCTTGGTCAGTGCTCAGGCAGTGTGGGGTTTTTCCAAGCCAACCAGCGGGCAAGATCTGTACCTGTTTCGAGTGATGCCGCTCTCCTGGGCGATGCGCCTTGGGCTGGGCCTGCTGCCGGTACTGGGGTCTGGAGAACCCGCTCACCAGGTATTTGTAGAGGTTGCTTTTCACATGGAGCGGGTTGTATCTAGGTTCCACTTCCAGACTGTTCAAGGCACTCTGTTCAGAGAGAAGTGACACACAGGTCCCAGCTGGTACCACATGAGTGCCCAGCATCCAGCTTCCTGCTCTGAAGTGGCAGAAAATGGATGTGAAGATTTGTACCTCCTTTCTGTACCTCCTTCCCTACTTAAATGACGTGCACTTCTTCCAGTCATTCAGGGCAAAGAGGGAACCAATGGGTCCACCACAGTAGCTGATGGAAATTGTGCAGGGCCTGATCCTTATCTGGGCCTTCCCTTGCCCTACATGGAGAACAGCTTGTACTTAGAATGAGCCAGATGTCACTTCCCCTGGGAGTGTCTCTCTCTCTCTGCCTTTGGGCCTGGTAACCATATCTGCTGTTCCTGAGCAAGCATGACACACAGGAGTTCAGACACCGGCCTCTCTGTCTGTCACCTCTCACACACTACACAGGTGTTCAAACACTGCCCTCTACGTCTCCCTCACACACACGGATTTTCAGACACTGGCCTCTCCGGCTCCCCCTCACACAAAGGTGTTCACACACTAGGGTTGCCACTTGCCGACTTTCTATTCGCACAAAACTGAATACCCTTGACCCACCCCTTCTCTGAGGCCCCGCCCCCTGCTCACTCCATTCCCCCTCTCCCTCTTGCTCATTCTCCCCACCTTCACTCACTTGCTCATTTTCATCGGGCGGGCTGAGGAGGCTGGGGTGTGGGAGGGGGTGAGGGCTCCAGCTGGAGGTGCGGGCTTTGGGTAGGGCCAGGGATGAGGGGTTTGGGTGGAGGAGGGCGCTCTGGGGTGGGGCATGGGGTTGGGGTGTGGGGTGGTTTCAGGGCTCCAGCTGAGGGCACAGGCTGTGATGTGGGGCTGGGGATGAGGGATTAGGGATGCAGGAGGGGGCTGTGGGCTGGGGCTGAGGGGTTCAGAGCACGGGAGGGGGCTCAGGGCTGGGGCAGGGGGTTAGGGCTCTATCTGGGGGTGCAGATTCTGGGGTGGGGCTTGGGATGAGAGGTATGGGGTGTAGGAAGGTGCTCTGGGGTGGGACCAAGGGATTCAGAGGGCAGGAGGGTGATCAGAGGTGGGGCAGGGGGTTGGGACACGGGGGGGTGGTGAGGACTCCAGATGGGGGTGTGGGCTCTAGGATGAGCGGTTTGGGGAGCAGGAGGGTGCTCTGAGTTGGGATTGAGGGGTATGGTGGGCGGTAGTGGGATTAAGGCAGGGGGTTGGGATGTGGGGCAGGGGGTGGGCTCCAGGCGGCGCTTACCTCAAGCAGCTCCTGGAAGCAGTGGCATGTCCCCCCTCTGGCTCCTACATGGAGGCACGGACAGGTGACTCTGTGCGCTACCCTGTTCACAGGCGCCGCCCCTGCAGCTCCCATTGGCCACGGGGGAACATGCTGGAGGCTTGCCAGGAGCCACGCTGAGGCTAGCAGGCAGCCACCAACCAGACAGTCAACTGCTTTTTGACGGGGTGTTTTGGTTGAAAACCGGACTCCTGGTCACTCTATCAGACACAAGCCTTTCTAGATCCCTCACACACAGTATTCAGACACTGGCCTCTCCGTCTCCCCTCTCACACGGGTGTTGAGACACAGGCCTCTCGGTCTGTCAGCCCTTTGTCTCCCCTCACATATGGGTGTTCAGACAAAGACCTCTCTGTCTGTCTCCCCGACACAATCGTGTTCAGACACAGGCCTCTCCGTCTGTCTCCTCTCATATATAGGTCTTCACAGTTTTCAGACAGGGCTTCTCCACTGGTCTGGAAAAGTTCTGCTGCTCAGGCCGGCTGCCTTTCTAAATCCTGCTGAGGGCCCTGAATGCTCTTAGCTGCAACTAACCAAAATGTTAGATACCCATTTCCTTCTTTGCTCACCTGCCAGGCCCCAAGAGCAGGGCCCTGGGTTTCCCGGCTATTCCATGCACCTGAAGCAGAGCAGGAATACAAGCAAAGCTCTGCTTCCGGACATGTACTGGGGAAATGTAGAAGCCTGAACCCATGAGGGGAGGAAGAATATGGGGGGAATGACTTATTTGTGCTAATCCTATTCATGTCAATAGGCCTGCACCTGCAATGCAAGTGAGAGGGTGTGAAGACCTTGCACTCCAAGCCAATGGAGGGATAGGCACCCCCCCTCCCCCGGCAGCATGCCTTGCACATAGGTGACATGTCTGTGTCTGGATGTACCATTCCCTGCTAGTGAGCTGGTATCCTATACGTGCAGAACCTGCACTGCCTCTTGTTATCTAAACTTGTGTGCAGCCATTCATCACTTGCCTCTATGGTGCTGAGCGCTGTCTCTGGAAGGTCAGCAGGGAGAGCTGGGATATTGCATGGCAGCAGGAGTTCTCTGACTGCAATGGCTTTGACGAGCAGCGTGAAGGAGTCAGAGGGGATGATAACATAGTAGGAATTCACTGTGATGCTCCAGCTTGGAACCACACTCTGTGGCTCACGTTTGGCCAAAAGCATCCAGTCCCTTTTCTAAAATCAAAAGCCAGAAGCAATGCTATCAGTGAAACCAGGGCAGGGTTGGCAGCTTCCCTCAGCACCAGCTCATTGCAGGGGCTGAGGGGCTGTGTAGCAGAGTGGGATAGATCTGTGTCAGATTATGAACTCCATTTTGTGTTAGGTGCTGAACTCAAGTCTAAAGTTGCATTGCTTTTGAGACAGCACCCTTTCTGGAAAGGGGCTTGCCATTGCCTTGAAGGACTATCACAGAGAAGCCAACAAGGCTGCAATCTGGAGCCATTGATGACTGTGTTGCTCAGCTACAGCCCCACCCCTAAGAACCAATGGTACATTGGTACAGCTGGGTCAAGTACTGGGAGAGGCTGGAGCATCCCCATGGTGCACATGGCAATGGAACAGGCTATGTAAGAGGGGGTTCTGCTCTGGGCAGGGGGGCTGGCCATCACCACAGGTAAGAAGGGGTGGAAGGAGAGAGAAGGCAGGAGGGACTCTGTCCAGTGTGACACTCTGATGAACTCCAGACTCAGGGCTGAGCTGAGAGCAGGAGAAGGAGTGTCTCAGGACTTTTATTTTGTTTCCAAAGAGCTGTAACTCTTGAGGACTTTCAGATTAAAGTTTCTGTGGTCAAGAAATTCATTTTCTAAGACTGTGTTCCTCGCTTTCCTGCTGCGCTGTTTCCACAGGAGTTAAAATAGAAGACCAGTATCATTACAGCCTAAGTGATGCTCCAGGAAAGTGTGTGTAAGCAAGTGGGAGGGCTTGGCTGGTTCCCAACACTGTTTTAATGGTCTAGGGCAAGTGGGCAGTGGTGCCCCATGTCTCAAAGGAGGGTCTTGGAGAAGAGGTCTGAGCCCAGGAGTGTGCCATACAGTCCCAGAGCTAGAAACAGAGTTTAGACTCTGCCATGACCCAACTGGCTTAGAAGCATGTAGAACCAAGTGATTACATCCACCCACAACCTGGTCACCATACAGAGTGGTACCGGGCCAGGTTGTAACAAGCTCCATCACCCAGACTGACTGTTGAAAATAGTCCTGCTTCTGAATTGTATAGCAACTGGATCAGAGAGACTCTGCTCCCCAGGCTGGGATCTGGAACTCTGCTTTTTACTGCTTCATTCATAGATTCCAAGGCCAGATGAGACAACTTTCATCATCTAGTCTGACCTCCTGCATAGCACAGACCAAAGGACTTCCCTGAATTAATTCCTGTGTGAACTAGGCAGATCTTTTAGAAAAACATCCAAGCTGGTTTGAAAGTTTCTAGTGATGGAGACTCTACTGCAGCCATTGGTAAGCTGGGAATGGGTGACAGGAGAGGAATCCCTTGATGATTACCTGTTCCGTTCATTCCCTTTGAAACACCTGGCATTAGCCACAGTTGGGAGACGGGATACTGGGCTAAATGGACCTTTGGTCTGACCCAGTATGGCTGTTCTTATGTTCCAGTGGTTAATTGAGAACATAGGAGTGACAGGGACCCCCTGGGGCATTGAAACCAGGAACCCACATCATACAATCTGTTTTATAAACTAATCAAGATCCATCTTAAAACCAATTTGGTTTCTTGTCCCCACTACTCCTACTGGAATACGGTTCGAGAACCTCCCTCCTCTGATGGTTAGAAATCTTCTAATTTCCATCCTAAATTTACTCATGGCTGGTCTATCCCCATTTGTTCTTTGCTAACACTGTCCTTTAGCTTCAATAGCTCTTTTCCCTCTCTGCAGTTAACCCCGTCATGGATTTATAGAGAGCAGTCATATCCCTTCTCAGCCTTCATTTTGCTAGACTGTACAAGGCAAGCTGTTTTAGTCTTCTCTCACAAAATAGCCTCCATTCCCCTGCACATCCTACTAGCTCTTCCCTGCACATGCTGCAGTTTGATTTTATCTTTTTGAACATGCATGACCAGAACTGTACACAGTATTCTGGATGAGGTTTTACCAGTGCTTTGTACAATGGGATTAATGTTTCCCTATCTCTACTGGAAATACCTCACCTCATACATCCTAGGAGTTCACTTTGCCTTTTTTCATGGCTGCATCACATTGGTGGCTTATAGTCATCTTATGATCGCATAATGCACCCAAGTCTTTCTCCTCCTCTGTTATTTCCCCATCTTATAGCAGAAATTCCTACTAGTCCCTAAGTACATCATCACTTCACAGTTTGTATTATTACATTTAATCCCATTTCTATTACTCCAGTTCTCAAGGTCATCCATTTCTTCCTAAACGATATTCCAGTCCTCCTCTGCATTGACAATGCCTCCCAACTTTGTCAAAGTTCACTAGGCATAGTGGATGTGGGGAAGCAGTAGATGCAACAGATCTTCATTTCAGTAAGGCTTTTGACACAGTCGCACATGACAGTCTCATAAGCAAATTAGGGGAAATGTGGTTTAGATAAATTACTATGAGATACGTGCACAACTTATTGAAAGACCATACCCAAAGAGCAGTTATCAGTGGTTTGCTGTCAAACAGGAAGGCTGTATCTAGTGGGTTCCCACAGGGGTCAGTCCTGGGTCCAGTACTATTCAATATGGGATGCATAAACAGGGGAATCTTCTGTATATGGCAGTGATGCAACCACTCATGGAATACTGTTTCCAGTTCTGGTGTCCACAATTGAAGAAGGATGTTGAAAAATGAGAGAAGGTTCAGAGAAGAGCCACAAGAATGATTATAGGATTAGGAAACATGCCTTGTAGTGATAGACAGGAGATCAATCAAGGGGATCAATCTATTTAGCTTAACAAAGAGACGGTTAAGGGGTGACTTGATCAAAGTCTACAAGTATCTACATGGGGAACAAATATTTAATAATGGACTCTTAAACCTAGAAGACAAAGGTATGACACTATCCAATGGCTGAAAGTTAAAGCTAGACAAATTCAGACTGGAAATAAGGTGTACATTTTTAATGGTGAGAGTGATTAACCACTGGAACAATTTACAAAGGATTTTGGTGGATTCTCCATCTTTCCGATCAAGATTGGATGTTTTTCTAAAAGATTTGCTCTAGGAATTATTGTGAGGAAGGTCTATGGCCTGAGTTATACAGGAGATCAGCCAAGATGATCACAATGCTACCTTCTGGCCTTAAAATCTATGAATCTAGGAAAGCTGATATTAACAAACATAAAAATATCACTTTTCACAGCAGACTTACCCAGCCCAGGAAAGTCTGGGGACAAATTAAGCCCTCGATTGGGGGTCGGGGGAGGTAGCGGGGGCCAGGGGCGATGGGAGGGGTTAGTGGAGGGCTAGGGGAGGCAGTGAGGGGCTGGAACTTGAAGTCCTGTGGACAGAGCCTTCTGCCCTGCCATCACAGAAGCCCAAAACCTGATCCCCACCACCCATGGGAAGGTGGGGAACTCACCTGCTGCCTGCTCCTCCAGTGTTGTGCCCCAGGTGTCTCTCAGGGGGGCAGGGCCCAACCCTTGCTGGCGGCCCCAGCAACCAACACCAAGCTGGTGTATCCAGGAGCAACAGGGATGGGGAGGTGCCGCTACTTTGTCCCTCCACCCCCAAATCACAGCCCAGGAGGCTGTGGCTGCAAGAAAAGTCCCTGGTGGCCACAAGCGGCCATGGTGGTCGCATTTGAGAAATGCTGGTCTAGGTTTACTTGGTCCTATCTCTGCACAGTGGGCTGGATTTGATGACTTCTGTAGGTCCCTTCCAGTCCTACATTTCTATGGTTCATTAGTACACTCCTGCTTTTTGTGCCGCTCTCATTAATGAAAATATTACATCAGCTTCGGTCCCAGGTCCAGTCCTTGAGGAACTCCACTAGTAATGTCTCTCCAGCCTGTAGTCATTTCCCTTTCCGACAGCTTCTTGCCCACCTTACAATTCCTGTACTCATTACTGTCTTCTCTACCTTAACTAATAATTTCTCATGTGGCACTGTATCAAATGATTTTCTGAAGTTCAGATAGATTAGATCTACTGCATTTCTCTTGTTAAGAAATCAGTTATCTTAACAAAGAAAGATATCAGGTTAGTCTGGCATGATCTGTTTTTGGTAAACTCATGTTGCATTTCATCCTATTTTCCATTTACCTCCATGTCTTTAAATTTTCTTTCCTTCAAAATTTGTTCTAAAACCTTGCATACTATTGAGGTCACAATAATAGGTGCCTGGATCACTTTCCCCCCCTTTCTTAAATTACACCCAGGATTAGAAAATGTTAAAAATGTATGTCTTATTTCCAGTCTGGATTTGTCATCTTCAGCTTCCAGCCATTGGTACTTGTGATACCTGTGTCTGTTAAGCTGAAGAGCCCTCTATCTCCGTCCATCTGCTGTAGAATAGCTCCAGTGCATCTTCTGGAAGAACTCTCAGTCACAGCTGTGGACTAAACACAGAAGCTGCAGGTCCTTGGGACAGCTCTCTGAGAGCAGGCTGGATCTTTTCACCCAGACTGATGCCTGCCTTTGCCCCAACCACAGATCCCATGCAGACCGCAGCTTGCATGCACTCACCAGCAAGCTGTGACACAGAGCATGGAAGTTGTGCTGGTTCATCTCCAGCTCATCCCAATCCAACTGCCAACAACTTGTAGGTTTAATGATGAAGGGAAGCCCAAACAGCACCGATTCACAAACCCCTTCAGCCTTCAGAGCCCTGCAAAAACAAAGAGCAACCTGGTGAAGGCTGTCTGTGCTCTACCCATAGCAAAAGAAACTGACTGTTAAACACTTACTCCCGGGATGTAGTGGTGGTGCAGGGTCTGGGATCTAACCCATACCTAGAGCCAGTGCCCTAAAGACACACTGTGGTGTGTGTGTGAAGGGGAAAGGATCCCATCCACGCCCGGTGCCAATGGCCTAAACACTCACTGGAGGTGGGGGGATCCAACCCACACCCAGTGCCAGTGCCCTAAAACAGTCACGCCCCAGGGGAGGAGATTCAGCCCACACCTGGTGCCAGTGACCTAAACACTCACCTTCCTGGAGGGGACCCATCCCATACCCAGTGCCCTAAACACACACTACTGTGGGGTGGGTGGGGGAATCCAACCTTCAGCCCTTGGTGCCATACCACCATCTGCCATGATCCTGCCATCCTGCTGGGTCTGCTCACTACTTTGCTGGGAGAGCTCAGAGTAAAGCTGAGCTGCTGCAAGAAGGCAGGGTTTGCTATTCTGTCTGGTCAGCACAGAAACGAGTACTCCACACTGTGTGACTGACAGTGCCCTCTTTTGTATGAGCTGTAAATACTAACCACTCACGTGTCCCAGTCACATCCCAGTGCAGGCAATGCCATTCTTTCCTAAACGGTTTCAGTTCGATCAATATTCTCCTTCACTTCCCATCTTAAACTCTGATGTTGTGCGCTATTAAACAGCTGCTGTACCTCACCCTAGAGATTGCTGCTTTTTAGTGGTGTCTGAAATGTTCCCTCTGTAGCTTCATTGGCAGTTGGAAAGGGTTGTTATGTGTAAGTGCTTTGAAAATGTACAGTTGTATACATGTTCTAAGTATTTTTAAACTAATCTTTGGTATAATCACAAATTTATACAAAGGTGACTGGGAGGGACTGTAAAATCATTGCATACAAAGCTGTTCGTTAATTAAATAAAATCCCTTCTATGCACAAGTCACAGGCTCTCTAGTTCTTTTCTGTCTCTATTATTATCATTATTAATTAGTATTACTGGAACAACTGCCTGATGAGAAGGAGAAGCGTAAGGTTGACTTAGAGGCATGAGAAAAATAGCACCACCTTATTCACATATTTGTAGCTTTCCCATCACCATGTCACACAGGCACTGGACTGTACAGGACGAAACTGTATGTGGGACCAGCTACTAACTCATTCACAACAGGGGCTGGGGGGCCATGATTCCAACCTGGCAAGCCTGACAAAGTATTTGTACTACATTTATAACTGGGAGCTTTCTTGCTATTGTACCTGGTGGTGGAATAACTGCCTCAAGTATCTGCAGGTCTGTTGTCCTACTATACTAATGGCTAATTTTGTCTTTGCAGAATGATGTCACAGCAGTCGTCATTTGCTAAGCTATACTCACTAGGGGGAGCTCTGGCCCTCAATAAGCATTTGGCTTCAGTCTGTAACCTAAGAGTGCGTGACAAGATTGCTCATAACATGACTCCATCTTTTCAATGCAGGTAAATGAACAGCCTGTGTTGAACTCTGGGGAGGGAGGGAGAAGACAGAGATGGGACATTTGGCCACACGGCTTTGTACAAATAGCCCATCCTTCTGTTGTTTCTTGCATCTCTTTCCTTCTGTGGGTTTTTGTCTCCCTGCTTTTCTCCTGAGATTCAGTTTTCCCATGCCATGTGTGACAGGACAAGCTGTTGCTGGGGAGTGAGGAAAAGGCCTCTGAAGAACAAATCAGAGCTCAAGAGTAATCTAGACTCCTACTCCCTATTTATGATGTAGAACCCCATGATTGGGGCTCAGAGCTCCCCCTTCCTCAGTACCAGAAAACCAGATTTCAGGGAAAGGGAGCAGATCTCGGGAAGTATTACCTCTTACCTGAAGGCTAGATTCAGGGCATGGGGCACACACAGTAGGAGTGAGCCATGTGAGGCTCCTGTCAGAATGGGGGAAGGGAGGGCTTGGCTGTCTCCCTTCATGGCAAAGCCTGCTAGGAAAGGGGAGGAGTCTGGGGACTTTAAAATACAAACCCCTCACTTGGGCAAGGATAGGGAAGACAGCAGGGAGAAGGAGGTGAGGGGGCATGCCTGAGTGTGGCACTTGGAGGCAGGATCTGTGGGACGTGCAGTTAGGGGCTTGGACAGCCTCATCTCTCTGGGCTTTAACTACTGCTGGACTGTGGCTGTACTTGGGATCTCTCTTGTTCTGGAAGCTGGGCTATGTGCTACCTGGCATGTCTTGTGGTGTAATGAACACTTTGATTTTTACCACACCACCCAGTGACAGTGCAGAAGCATCCTGCTATTGCTGTGGATGGTGTGTCAGGTTGTGCAGTTGGTTGTGTCTTGCATCCTAGGGAGATGATGGTGCCATTCACTTAATCTGTGGGGTTTCTCAGTAACAGTCCCTGTCAGCAGGGTTGCTGAAGGATGCACCATCACTGCTCTGTGACCTCGCTTCCCAGACAGATATGTGGAGATACAGTCTGGTAATGTCAGAACCTGTTTCTTGCCTTCAGAACTCTACTCCTCATATCCCTGCTGCGTGACACGCTAATGAGGTTTCAGTGTAATCTTAATTTCCCAATAGCTGACATCCTGTGGTGCGCATAAAAGTGAGAAACTAAACAAACTCTTGCATGGTGACAGGTTTCAAAGTGGTAGCCTTGTTAGTCTGTATCAGCAAAAACAAGAACTCCTTGTTGTTTAAACAAACTCTCTGCACCTCTCACAGAAAGGGTTTATGTATTACCTACTTTATGACTCTGAGTTTATACAGTGTCGTAGCTGGACAGGCTGCCATCTGGTACGGTGTGTTGACATCATCTGTTCTCACTGTGACATCAGCTGCCCCAGGAAGCAGAGCTGGGCTAAGCAGTCTCTCCTGAATATCACATTTCACACATGCTACAGAGAGATTTGGCAAAGATGACTGGAAATATAATAACTAATAACATTTTGTACTTTACATCAAAGCAGTGTACAAACACTTAAATATATTAATATTGTTTACTGATAGGCAACTACACAGGGAACAATGAAACCAAAGTATGGGACACCAGGACAACACTGTCTAGCTAATGAACGATCCCAGCTCCCTCACAAGGTAGGTAAAAATAATTACCCCATTTTAAACAGAGAAGAAAGTAGTGCATACTTAATTTTTAAGCATGTGCAGAAATGGTTTCCTGAAAATGGACAGACTGCTGAGTCAGCTCAATAAAAGGCACACAGTGTGCCAGCTGCAGAGCTCAGATTAGAACTCAGGAGCACCTGGCTCCTCATCCCAGGAGCAGACCACTAAGCAATATCACACCTCTAGTCAGTCTCTCTCTTCCTAAATCATCCACACAGAAGGAGGAAACAAAGAGCGAGACCTTGTCCTGCTTGGGATATTAATAAAATGGTTGTTGGTGACAGACCAGGGGAAGCTCTATCTAAAAAGAAAGGAAATCCTCTGAACAGCTGTAGGAAGGTGGAGCTGAGGCAGTGTCCTAGCTGAATGCATCCGATGAAGTGAGCTGTAGCTCACGAAAGCTTATGCTCAAATAAGTCTCTAAGGTGCCACAAGTCCTCCTTTTCTTTTTGTGGATACAGACTAACACGGCTGCTACTCTGAAACCTAGCTCCATAATGGGGTCTCAGCCCATTCTTTCTCTTAGGGTCTTTTGTTTGTTGTTTCCCCCTTCGGCTCTGAAGAGTGATAGTTACTTAATATCTGTGAAATCCCATCACTAGGGTGACATCTGTTCCATGTCCAAAGGGATCTTGCTTATCTAATGGCTGTAGGTAGCTTCCTTTCTCTTCTGGGGATGCAGCTAACCTCACACTAGGGAGAGGTGAGGAAACTCTTGGCTTTGGTTCCCTTCTTAGGGCTTGCTGACACTTGAAAAGCTACAGTGGCACGGCTACTGCCAAGAGGCAATAGCTAGAATTCTTCTGTCTATCTAGCACTGTCTATGCTGGGGATTAGTTTGGTTTAACTAAACTGCTCAGTGGTGTGAATTTTTCACACCCCTGAGCGACGTAGTTAAGATGACCTAATTTTCTAGTATAGACCAGGCCTCAGCTCCAACAAGGCAGTGTATTAAGCGCAACATTCAAAATGAGCAAAGGAACAAAATCCATTTTTCACAAACAAGAGAATAAGTGCCAGCTCCTGCCTACAAATACAGCTTCTGAGGACAGTGCCCTCCTAAATGAAAGGGCAAAATAAGCTTCTGAAACATCCATTCTAAGGAAATGTGCAAGAGAGCATGCCATCTTTGTCTCTGGTTTGGACCTGGTCAGATAAGAGCTGTCTGTGCAATGCCTGAGGAGGATAGACGTGTGCCCCTGCTACTATGGCAATAGGATGCTGTGAATTTAAAAATGGCCCTGTATCACACAGGCATTGATGGGAGGAGGGGTAGGGCCATGTGCTCAGAGATTCCAGTGGCAATGCAGGTGTGACCCCATGGTTAATAACTACCTGGGGGAAAGCACCTAGTTCTGCTGCATTGAGGAAGAATTCAGATTTCTAATCTTCTAATGATCACACACACACACCAAAAGACGGTTACTCACCTTCTTGTAACTGTTGTTCTTCGAGAAGTGGTGTTCGCGTCCATTCCAATTAGGTGTGCATGCGCTGAGTGCACGGTCGTCGGAAACTTTTTCCCTCAGCAGCTCTCGTTGGGTCGCCCAGGGAGCCCCCTGGAGTGGTGTCCTCATGGCGCTCAATATATGACCCTGCCGACTCGACCCCCATTAGGTTTCTTCTTGCCAGCTACTCTGACAGAGGGGAAGGAGGGTGGGTTTGGAATGGATGTGAACAACACATCTCTAAGAACAACAGTTACAAGAAGGTGAGTAACCGTCTTTTCTTCTTCAAGTGATTGTTCACGTCGCTTCCAATCAGCTGACTCCCAAGCTCTCCCATGGGGGTGGGTTTGGAGTTAAGGAATCGCTGATCGGAGCACTGCTCTACCTGAGAGCTGCGTCGTCTCTAGCATGCTGGGTGCTGGCATAGTGGGGGGGAAAGGTATGCACTGAGGACCGGGTCGCCGCTCTGCAGATCTCCTGGATGGGCACCTGAGCCAGGAAAGCGGTGGAAGAGGCCTGAGCCCTTGTCAAGTGGGCCATTATAGCCGGGGAACCTTGGCGAGGTCATAGCAGGCACAGATGCAGTCCGTAATCCAGGAAGAGCTGTGCTGTGAGGAGACTGGAAGTCCTTTCATCCGATCTGCCACCGCTACAAACAGCTGGTTTGACTTCCTGAAAGGCTTTGTGCGCTCAGTGTAGAACGCTAATGCCCTCCGCATATCTAATGAGTGAAACTTCTGCTCCTGTGCATTGGCATGTGGCTTGGGGTAGAATATTGTCCTGGCTGAGGTGGAATTGCGATACCACCTTGGGGAGAAGAGCTGGGTGTGTCCTGAGTTGTACCTCTTCCTTGTGGAAGACTGTGTAGGGGGAGGTCAGAGGTTAATGCTTTTAGCTCTGATACCCTCCTGGCCGATGTGATTGCAACCAGAATGGCCACCTTCCATGAGAGATACAGAAGGGAACATGTAGCAAGCGGCTCGAATGGGGCTCCCATAAGCCTAGCTAGGACCAGGCTGAGGTCCCAAGTCGGTACTGGTGGACGAGGCTGAGGGTATAAGCATTCCAGGCCCTTAAGGAAAAGGCCTACCATAGGACTGGCGAAGACTGAACACCTCCACTCATCCTACCACTCTGAGTTCCTTTATATTGATGTGGAGCAGGATCTCAGACTGTGACCACATGCCCTGAGTCTGTAAGTGTCCTAGGTGTGCCCCCCAATTGAGGTCTGATGTGTCCGTTACTAAGGTCATGGACAGTTGGAGGTGGTGAATGGGACTCCTTTGCAGATCATGCGAGGGTCCAACCACCATCCTAGGGTGTCTAGGACTCGTGACAGTACTGTTACTACTGAGTCTAGACTATCCTCACCTGGGTGATAAGCTGTAGCAAGGCATGCCTGGAATGGTCTGAGCCTCATTCTGGCATGCCTCACCACATAGGTGCATGCTGCCATGTGTCCCAAGAGGCTGAGGCATGTCCTTGCGGTGGTGGTGGGGTACTGTCTGAGTGCCTGAATGATGTGTGACAGTGTTTGGAATCTGGGTTGTGGCAGGATGGCTCTTGCCTGAACCAAGTCCAGCACTGCCCCGATGAATTCTATTTGTTGAGTGGGTGATAGAGCTGATTTGTCTATATTGAGGAGGAGACCCAGCCTCTGGAAGAGGTCTCTGACTAACTGAACATGGGACTCCACCTGCTCCCTGGAGCGCCCTTGCAGGAGCCAATCGTCTAAGTAGGGGTACACTTGCACTTGTCTCTTTCGGAGAAAGGCTGCGACAACAGACATACACTTGGTGAAGACCCGGGGGGCTGTTGATAACCCGAATGGGAGCACCATGAACTGAAGATGTATGCAGTTGACAATGAACATTGGGAAGCAACTGTGGGGTGGCCAGATGGCTAGGTGGAAGTAAACATATTTCATGTTGAGGGCAGCATACCAGTCCCCCGGATCCAGGGAAGGGATAATTGTGCTCAGGGAGACCATGTGGAGCTTTATCTTTACCATGAACTGATTGAGTCCCTGCAGGTCTAAGATGGGTCTGAGATCCCTCTTTGCCTTTGGGATTAGGAAATAACGGGAATAGAATCCCTTGCTCCTTAGCTCCTGAGGAACCTCCTCCGCTCCCGTGGCGAGGAGTGCCTGCACCTCCTGGATAAGGAGTTGCTTGTGAGAGGGGTCCCTGAAGAGGGACAGGGAAGGGGGGTGGGAGAGAGGGGAGGAGCAGAATTGGAGAGAATATCCAACTTCTACCATGTGAAGAACCCAGCGGTCCAATGTTTTATGGGACTACACACGGTAGAAGTGGGATAGACGGTTCAAAAAATGGGGGGAAGGATCCGTAATCATGGCTGGTATGCCGTCCTCGGGCGTCCCTTCAAAACCCTTGCTTGGGTCCCGACAATGGCTTGGTTGGGCCCTGCCCTTGGCCTGAGGGAGGGTTGGAAGGCCAACACCTGGAATTCCTGCCCCTCTGGTGGTAAGTATCCTGCCTCGGGCGGGGTTGGTATTCATAGAATCATAGAATATAAGGGTTGGAAGGGACCCCAGAAGGTCATCTAGTCCAACCCCCTGCTCGAAGCAGGACCAATTCCCAGTTAAATCAGTTAAAGCTGTTGCACAGGCTGAGGCTAGAAGGGCTTTCTCTCTAGCAGGTGTGCGCAGCCCCAGAGATTTCATCGTTGCCCTGGAATCCTTAAGGCTGTGAAGCCTTGAATCAGTCGGGTCTGAAAACAGCCCTGTACCCTCAAAGGGAAGGTCCTGCAGGGTCTGCTGAACGTCTGGGGGAAGCCCGGACACTTGGAGCCAAGCTGTTCTCCTCATGACCACCCCCAAGGAGATGGTACATGCCACAGAGTCGGCCGAATCGAGTGAGGCCACAGGGATGTCCTGGCAACCGCCTTCCCCTCCTCGACCAGAGCCGAGGACTCAGTGGGGAGTAACTCCTTATATTTTGACATGGAGTCCCACGAGTTAAAATTATACCTGCTCAGGATAGCTTTCTGGTTAGCTATACTCAGCTGTAGACCTCCCAGCGGCATAAATTTTCCTGCTAAAGAGGTCCATCTGTTTGGCCTCTTTGGCCTTAGGAGCTGGTGCTTGTTGTCCCTGACACTCCTTCTCATTCACTGCAGAGACCACCAGGGAGGAAGGGTGTGGGTGGGAGAACAAGAATTCATAACCCGTAGAGGGAACAAAGTATTTTCTTTCCACACCCCTGGCAGTTGGTGGAATGGAGGCTGGAGCCTGCCACAAAGCACTATAATTGTTGCCAACAGTCTTAATTACTGGCAAGGGCAACACCACTCTGGAAGGGCCCTCCAGCATAAGAATGTCCACCACCGGGTCCTCTGGCTCAATGACTGCCTCCGCCTGTAGGCCCATATTACAGGCGATGTGGCGGAATAGGTCCTGGTGGGCCCTGTGGTCAATGGGTGGAGGACCTGAAGTTGATGCCCTTGCCACCGCCTCATCAGGCAAAGACGAAGAAGAGGCCAGTGGAAGCACAGGGTTATCATGGCCCACCATGTGCTCAGGTTGGTCCTGGGCAGCGTTGGTGCCAAGTGGCTCAACGTAGTCCGACGGGACCTTGGATGTAGATGGATCTGGGGCTGGTTCTGTGCCCTATGTAGTATGCAGGGGTGGTCTGGATAGAGCCGCCTTTGTGGTACGAGGGATGGTTCTGTCCACCGGTGACCGTGCCCAGTGATGCCCCAATGCAACCACTGACCTAGAAACCCTGGAAGGGGTACCCTGGGCTGGATGGTAAGCCCAGGGGGTCCAGAAGGGCCATTGTGCAGCGGGTGGCCATTGAGGTTGTCAGGATGAAGGAGCGTGTCTCCCGTGTTTGTCTGACCTGTGTCTACTACACCGTGAGTAGTAGGAGCTGTTCTCAGAGTCAGAGAAGCCTGAGGGCGACGACACGGCAGTGCTGAGGATCCCTACACCGGGCGGTTGGTGCCAAGAGGAGGACGTCAGAGATCAGTGCTGCAACGACTGTGTAGACGAACAGTGCTGGCTTTCCCATGACTTAGACCGATGCCGGGGAGTGACTCCTATGTTCCAGTGCCGTATCACAGTGCTTGGTGATAGAGGGCGATCGTGACCAGCAGGACCGTCCCTAGACATTGAGGTTCCCTATACAGCCCCCCCTGTGGAAGGGTGAGGGGGGGCTGCACCCAAGGTCTGTGGGGGGTAGAAGCAGGCTTGGGGGGCAGGAGGAAAAGGCCCCCCCCCGCAGCATGAGCCGGCGGAGTGGGTTGGGGCCGGATCATTCCACTTCCTGCTGCCCGGTGATTGCACAGGGCAGCGGGAAGTGGAGTGACCCAGCCCCAGCCAGCTCCACTCTGCTCCCCTGGCTCCCAGCCTTGGGACTTGGGGGGCAGGGGGGGAACTGCCCCCCAGCACTCACTGGCAGAGCGGAGCGGGCTGGGGCTGGGTCGCTCCACTTTCCACTGCCCGGTGAGTGCAGGCCGTGCCCAACCCCTGCTGCAGTCCCCCGAGATGTAGCTCAGGGGAAGGGGTAGTGTGGCAGTGGGCTGGGGTGGAGCAGGGGTGGGAAGAGGCAGGGCAGAGCAGGGGCAGGGGCTTTGGGGAAGAGGTGGGGTGGAGCAGGGGTGGGGGCAGCTTTCGTGGCTGGCTTAGCCGGCCGGGGGATTGGGCTGGCTGCTGGAGCAGCACACAACTGCGTAGGGCACCAGGAAATTTGGGGTAATTTTGTACCCCAAATTTCCTGGTGCTGTATGCAGCTTTGTAGTTTGCATATGGGTAAGGACAGCCCTGGTGTCTGGTGCCAACTCCCCGATGCTGGAGATCCTGAGTGACTCACTCCCTGCGTCTTACTGTCTTGTACTGGGGCTGATGCTGGAGGTGAAGTAGACTGTGAACGGTGCCATGAACGGTGCCGGTCTTGAGAGGAAGATGGCCTCATCGTTGCTGGTTTGCTTCTAGATGGCATCCATCTAGGCGGTGCTGGGGGCTTGTCTCTAACAGCAGGGGGCTGAGACACAGTATTTTCTGAGAGGTCCCTTGCCGCCTTGAAAGTATCTGGGGTGGAGGGGGCTTCCACCTCCTCCACCAAGTCGAGCCCCACTGGTGAGTCACTGGGTGCTGGACTCAACAGTTCCAGCTGGGGTGCTGGAGTCAGCGGCACAGGGTCTTGCTGTTTGGAAGTTAAGTCCTTCCTCTGGGGCAGCAGGGTCTCCCCAGATGGTCTCGCTCTCTGAGGAGAGCGCCCTCTGTTGAAACAAGAAAATAAAAGTTTTAAAGAACTAAGAATGGCTAAGGGAAGACTTGAAGGCAAGCAAGCTAACGCAGTTCAGGTGCCACCACAGACTGTAAGAAGAAACTGAAGGGGGGTCAGGTCGCAGGATCATATATTGAGTGCCATGAGGGTGCGGCTCCAGGGGGCTCCCTGGCTGACCTGACGGGAGCTGCTGAGGGAAAAAGTTTCCGACGACCGTGCACGTGCACACGCACACCTAATTGGAATAGATGTGAACAATCACTTGAAGAAGAACCTCTTGAGGGTGGGTGGCGAATATTAAGGGGAGGGCCACCCATGGTGGCGTGGAGAGCATTGAGAGACTGAAGTGAAACCAGTAAGGAAAATGGTGTTTTCCTTACTGATTTTACTTTGTACTCCTGCTAATATGTAACTTCTGGTAGCTCCAGATTTCAAGCATCTGACGTTTACTTCAGTACTGTATGAACAGATTGAACTATTTGTAAAGGACACCTATCTATGTGCAGTTCTGGCCCGCACTAAGCATAATATATGAGCACAGGAAGTGTTATTTCTATCACTGTCAAACATAAATCATCTCTCAAATCATGAAAGGTGTGGAAAAAGTGAATGTTGAAGGGTCATTTACCCTTCCCCACAGTACAAGAACTAGGGGTCACCTGATAAAATGAACAGGCAGCAGGTTTAACACAAACAAAAGGAAGTATTTCTTCATACAATGCATGGTCAACCTGAGGAACACATTGCCATAGGATGGTCTAGATGATACCTAGTCCTGCCGCGAGTGCAGGGGACTGGACTAGATGACCTCTCGAGGTCCCTTCCAGTCCCATGATTCTATGATGTTGTGAAGGCCAAAAGTATAGCTGGGTTCAAAAAAAGAACTAGATAAATTCATGGAGGATGGTTCACCAACGGCTACTAGCCAGGATGGTCCGAGATGCAGTGTCATGCTCAGGACGACCCTAAACCTCTGGTTGCCAGAAGCCAGGAAGGGAAGATGGGTGCATCCCTCCAAGTGCCCTGTTCTGTACACTCTCCTTGAAGGTCTGGTACTGCCCACTGTCAGAAGACACGGTCCTGGGCTAGATGGACCACTGGTCTGACCTCGTCTGGCCGTTCTTATGTTCTTAAAAACCAGTTGAACCAACTTGGGTCTCATTTTCTAAAATATTTCCTCATGAGGATGTCTGATTCTCTGCTACACTAAGTCTCCTTTACACTGTCATAAGGCACATTTGGGGCTGCCAAGGTGGTGTAAATGCACATCCACGTCAAGGCACCTCTATGGTGCCAGAATGTAAAGGAGTCTGGTGTAACTGAGGGCATGGCTACACTCGAACCTTCAAAGCGCTGCCGCGGGAGTGCTCCCACAGCAGCGCTTTGAAGTGCGAGTGTGGTCGTGCGCCAGCGCTGGGAGAGAGCTCTCGCAGCGCTCCTGGTGCTCCACCTCCGCGAGGGGATTAGCTTAGAGCGCTGGGAGCACAGCTCCCAGCACTGGGGCACTGTTTACACTGGCGCTTTGCAGCGCTGTAACTTGCTGCGCTCAGAGGGGTGTTTTTTCACACCCCGAGTGAGAAAGTGCCAGTGAAGCCATAGCCTGAGAATCAGACCTGAGGCCCTTCAGTCCCAATGGTGATGTCTGATAAGCACCTGAAAATGGGGCATTCTAAATCAATTGCCCTTTTCAGCCTCAACTATGGTATTAGCTGCAGCCAACAAGAGAATGCTGGACTCTGTCACTTTGCTGAGTGGTGACTGTGCCCCAGGCTGGTGATTCCACTGCACAGGCCTGTGTGATCTGTGGGCCAGTGAGAGTCAGTGGGCCACAGCTGAAAGGGAGAGAAGATGAAATACTTAGACTTGTCCTGGGGGCAGTGAAGTGACAGAAGTCTCCTGAGGGAAGGAGGAGATGGAGCTGCTCTCTGTCTGTGCCACGATCATGAAGCCAGGTTTTAAAGAAAGTTTCCAAGCTGACAACATCATTCTCTATGGTCTGAAGGTCAATGTCCATCCCCAGGATCACACTGTCTGCGGAAGGAGAGAATTATAGAAATTTAGGACTGGGAGGGATCATCCCCCTGTGCTGAGGCAGGACCAAGTATACCTACATTGCCCCTGACAGATGTTTGTCGAAATTATACTAGGACAGTCCCCAAGACTCCGAGGCCCCAGAACCATACGAACCATCTGTCTGTGGCCACTCTGAGCAGGTGTGTTGGTGTCTCAGTGGCTCATGTACTTTCCTTACTCCTGGTTTGTTTGTACCTAAATGGCACCTTCCATCAAAGGTTCTCAATGCACTTCAGAGCTAGCTGTTCGTTTGGTCTCCTGGGGAGGGGACATTCTCCCCATTAGACAGAGGGGCTTGCTGAGGAACAGGGGCTACAGGATGTAACTGAGGAGCGAATGTGGCCCACTTATTTTAGCTTACTGGTTCTCTGTACACCAAGTGTTGAAGCTCACCATCAGCTTTAAGCCAGGATATCTTAGCACGTCTTGGCCATTTTAGCATCCCCACTGGGGAGCTTCAGGAGACAGAAGTCTTGCACTCCTAGAGCGGGGCTCCACTCACCCCTCTTTTTCCCCACTAATGAGCAGTGTTTCCTGCTCAGCAGGGTTACCCTGCCCAGCACCTCTTCACACACCCAACCTGCACTCAACCCACTCCCCTTCACTTGCCACAGTGGCTTCAGTACCAGCTTCTCTTTCTTGCAGGGAAGCCCAACAGCTGCAGCAAGAGGAGTCCATGCCTGAACACAAGGAGTGCTCCCCTAGGCCTCGCTGCTTATGCACATGCATGCCTCTACACTGCTGGTTATAAGGGCCTTCACCACACCAGCCTGGGATATTTTACGTGGCAAAAAAACCAGGGTTCAGAGCAAAGGTAAAAACACATGCAGATTGTGAGTTCATGGGCTAGAAGTGGCAGTTTTAAAGTAGACTGTATCCATTTAAAGAAAATGTAGGTGAAACAGAAGCAGTACCTAACATGGTCAAAACTCTGTCTCAGCCTCACAACTCCTAAGGAGAGTAGGTATCATTGCCCCGTTTTACAGATGGGGAAACTGAGGCTGAAAGTTACAAAGGATCTTACAGAGTCAATGACAGAGCTGAAATTAGAACTTAGGTCTTCCTGACTAATGCTGGGCATAGTCCTCCTATACTGCCCATCAATGGTAGTTTCGAGCCAGGCAGTATTTGTCCTATAACTGCTCAGTTGAAATCACTGTTAGCCCGTTAGCATGCAGTCTTAATCCTGCCCATTTTATAAGAAGGGCTAATCTGATACTTGGATTCAGTGGAAAAATGCGCAGAATTCTGAACTCCAAGCGAGAGTTCTTCAACTGTGCCCCAAACGAAATGGTCAGACTAAATACTGCACACATTCCACTCATCCACATGGAAAATCTACAGGAACTGCAGCAGCATGTATAGCACAGCCTGAGATATATGAACGTCTAGCAGGGAGCACTTTCCAGGGAGCTACTTGACTCAACTCCAGCAAAGTCAGACACCAAGGATTTCTCTGGTGGCACAACACAAGGCTGCTGTCACTGCCCTGGCTCACCGTGGCAGGGTGGATAAAAATCAATGATTTAAAAAAAATTTAAAAAATTGGATTTTTTTTAATTTAAATTGGATTTTTTTGATAAAATGCTTTTTGAGGAAAAAACCTATCTAAGGACAGTTTTAATTAAGTAAGATACATGAAAGCTCAAAGATATCTCATCATGGAATCGGGATTACAAATTCTAATTCTATAGCAGGGGTCTCAAACTCAAATGACAACGAGGGCCACATGAGGACTAGTACATTGGCCCGAGGGCTGCATCACTGACACCCTCCCTTCGTAACCCCCCCACTCTACCCCTTCCATGAGGCCCCGCCTCTTCCCACCCCTTCCCTGCCCCCATTCCAACCCCTTTCCCAAATCCCCACCCCTGCCCCGGCTCTTCTCTGCCTCCTCCCCTGACCGCACGGCTCCCTGCTCCTCCCCCCCTCCCTCCTGGAAAGCTCTAAGTACCGCCAACAGCTGTTTGGCAGCTTGGTGGCGGGAAGCACCTGGAGTTAGGCAAGGGGGGGCACGGGGAGCTTGGCGGGCTGCAGAAAATAACGTGGGAGGGGGTGGGGAGGTGCAGGGAGCTTCGCGGGCTGCAGAAAATAACCCCGTGGGCCATGTGTTTGAGACCCCTGTTCTATAGTATGAGAGAATATATTCATGTAAAGTTTAAGAAAAGTTTTGTAAATGAGTTCCAATAGTTCATGGATTAGGGACCCAATCTTATGGAGTTCCAGGGGCTTGAGTACAGATTATTTAGGTTAATCTTTCTATCTGCCCAATGGGACTCAGTGCTCAGTCTAGAAGATACCATCAGAGATGCTTAGTTTTGCAGTTCTCAAACTGTGGATTTGTGTCTCCAGAGATAACATGCTTGTTAACAGGAAAAATGTTTTTAAATAAATAAATAAGTATTATGTAGAGGTGAGAAATAATAGACCTCAACTATTGTCCCTCTGCAAATTTGTGTACACAGAGTCAATCTCTTACTTCTCTCTAAAAGTGCAAAGTTTCAAAAAGTTCAATGAATAGAAGATTGTTGGGCGCGGAATAGATCTGGACAAGGCGAAGTCTGGAGATAAATGTGAGAAGGGAGGGACAAGCAGTAGAAGCAAAAGTGACACTGTTTGAGCAGCATATTCCAGAAGTCTTGAGGTCTTTCTGAGTGTAGCCTTCATTGATTTGAGATCTACCATACCATTCTCTCACTAGAAGGGAAAACCTATAATGGCAGCAGGCCGTAAAAGAGACCCAATTTGGGAATCATAGAATATCAGAGTTGGAAGGGATCTCAGGAGGTCATCTAGTCCAACCCCCGGCTCAAAGCAGGACGACTCCCCAACTAAATCATCCCAGCCAGGGCTTTGTCAAGCCTGACCTTAAAAACTTCTAAGGAAGGAGATTCCACCACCTCCCTAGGTAACGCATTCCAGTGTTTCACCACCCTCCTAGTGAAAAATTTTTTCCTAATATCCAACCTAAACCTCCTCCACTGCAACTTGAGACCATTACTCCTTGTTCTGTCATCTGCTACCACTGAGAACAGTCTAGATCCATCCTCTTTGGAACCCCCTTTCAAAGGTAGTTGAAAGCAGCTATCAAATCCCCCCTCATTCTTCTCTTCCGCAGACTAAACAATCCCAGTTCCCTCAGCCTCTCCTCATAAGTCATGTGTTCCAGTCCCCTAATCATTTTTGTTGCCCTCCGCTGTACGTTTTCCAATTTTTCCACATCCTTCTTGTAGTGTGGGGCCCAAAACTGGACACACTACTCCAGATGAGGCTTCACCAATGTTGAATAGAGGGGAACGATGATGTCCCTCGATCTGCTGGCAATGCCCCTACTTATACATCCCAAAATGCCATTGGCCTGCTTGACAACAAGGGCACACTGTTGACTCATATCCAGCTTCTCGTCCACTGTAACCCCTAGGTCCTTTTCTGCAGAACTGCTGCCGAGCCATTCGGTCCCTAGTCTGTAGCGGTGCATGGGATACTTCCGTCCTAAGTGCAGGACTCTGTACTTGTCCTTGTTGAACCTCATCAGATTTCTTTTGGCCCAATCCTCTAATTTGTCTAGGTCCCTCAGTATCCTATCCCTACCCTCCAGCGTATCTACCTGTTTCTTGACTTTAGCAAAGCTTTTGACACGGTCTCCCACAGTATTCTTGTCAGCAAGTTAAGGAAGTATGGGCTGGATGAATGCACTACAAGGTGGGTAGAAAGCTGGCTAGATTGTCGGGCTCAACGGGTAGTTATCAATGGCTCCATGTCTAGTTGGCAGCCGGTATCAAGTGGAGTGCCCCAAGGGTCGGTCCTGGGGCCGGTTTTGTTCAATATCTTCATAAATGATCTGGAGGATGGTGTGGATTGCACTCTCAGCAAATTTGCGGATGATACTAAACTGGGAGGAGTGGTAGATACGCTGGAGGGGAGGGATAGGATACAGAAGGACCTAGACAAATTGGAGGATTGGGCCAAAAGAAATCTGATGAGGTTCAATAAGGATAAGTGCAGGATCCTGCACTTAGGACGGAAGAACCCAATGCACAGCTACAGACTAGGGACCGAATGGCTAGGCAGCAGTTCTGCGGAAAAGGACCTAGGGGTGACAGTGGACGAGAAGCTGGATATGAGTCAGCAGTGTGCCCTAGTTGCCAAGAAGGCCAATGGCATTTTGGGATGTATAAGTAGGGGCATAGCGAGCAGATCGAGGGACGTGATTGTTCCCCTCTATTCGACATTGGTGAGGCCTCATCTGGAGTACTGTGTCCAGTTTTGAGCCCCACACTTCAAGAAGGATGTGGATAAATTGGAGAGAGTCCAGCGAAGGGCAACAAAAATGATTAGGGGGCTGGAACACATGAGTTATGAGGAGAGGCTGAGGGAGCTGGGATTGTTTAGCCTGCAGAAGAGAAGAATGAGGGGGGATTTGATAGCTGCTTTCAACTACCTGAAAGGGGGTTCCAAAGAGGATGGCTCTAGACTGTTCTCAATGGTAGCAGATGACAGAACGAGGAGTAATGGTCTCAAGTTGCAGTGGGGGAGGTTTAGATTGGATATTAGGAAAAACTTTTTCACTAAGAGGGTGGTGAAACACTGGAATGCGTTACCTAGGGAGGTGGTAGAATCTCCTTCCTTAGAGGTTTTTAAGGTCAGGCTTGACAAAGCCCTGGCTGGGATGATTTAACTGGGAATTGGTCCTGCTTCGAGCAGGGGGTTGGACTAGATGACCTTCTGGGGTCCCTTCCAACCCTTATATTCTATGATACCTCTCCTCCCAGTTTAGTGTCATCTGCAAACTTGCGGAGGGTGCAATTCACACCATCCTCCAGATCATTTATGAAGATATTGAACAAAACCGGCCCGAGGACCGACCCTTGGTTGAAGTTCCTCTACCTGTGGGTAAAACAGGCATGTGTGCAAAATGCAAACAGTGCAACAAAGAAATGCAAGGCCTGGTTGAAACA